TGCCCCACCGCGCCTGCGGGGCTGGGATTTATTTCGGTGGAATCGGATCCAGCTGGGGTTGGTTTGGGGTTTTTTTTTTTCGGGTTTTGGGGTTTTTTTTTTTGTAATTCCCATTGGGACCAGCGCGTTGGAACTCGAAGGGTTGAGGGTTTCTGCCGCTCTCTGCGTTTGGCTACGTGGAAAAAAAATTAAAATAAAATAAAATAAAATAGTGGGAGACGCTTGGGGGGAACTGGACCAGGAGCCGGTGTGGGGTTGTGTGAAAGAGCCGAGAGTCCCGTCAAGAATCAGCGGGCGAGCTGTAAAACCGGGTGCTGTCCTCTATGTACAACCCAGAGCCTCTGTCCCCGAGCAGAACCTCCTCTCCCGATCCCGCCGCGGGCCTTTAGGATCCCAGATCCACCAGGCTGGACGTGAGGGGTCCCAGCAACGAGTCCTGGAGCTGGTGGCCTTGGAGGCTGTGAGGGGTCTGGGATGCGGCTAAGCCGCTCAGGGAGTATCCGGAGCTCCTGGCGTGGCTGAGGTTCCCCTGCAAGAGCAGGACCGAGTTCTGATCCGGGCTTTGGGGAGGAGAAAATTCTTCCTCGGAGCTGGACATGAGGGGTTTGCTCCCATCCAGAGGCGAGAGTTGGTTCGGTTTGTTGGTGGCTGCGTTGTTGTTTTCCGTGTTCTCCCTGCAGAAAAGAAATCAAAAAACAAACAAACAAAAAAACCCCACAACGGGGATGTTACGGCGGGCAGGAGGCGCCGGGGATGGGCGCTGTGCTTATGCCCCTGGTAAATCATTTCATTTCATCGTAGGAGCAGATACCTCTCCCCGGAAAAAAAACAAAACAAAACAAACAAACAAAAAAAAAGCGCCTAATATTTCCATAACGGATCGTCCGCATTTCTTTTTACCTTCCTCTAAATAGGTGTACATGGCGCATCGTAGGATACCTCTCCCCGGAAAAAAAACAAAACAAAACAAACAAACAAAAAAAAAGCGCCTAATATTTCCATAACGGATCGTCCGCATTTCTTTTTACCTTCCTCTAAATAGGTGTACATGGCGAAGCCCGGTAATTTAGGCGAGGAGGAAAAGTTGGAGAAGGGGGTGGGGGTGGAAGGATAAATTTTCTCTTTTTAATTAAAAATGAAAGGGCGGCCCGAGGACGAGCAGGGCGCGGGGTTTTCTTTAGGAGACTCGGTGGGGAGGTTGCTGGAGGAGCCAAAAACTGGAGCGATGCCCTCCGTGGCTGTTTCCTTCGCCGGGCCGAGCCGTC